CACTTCAAGCTCTACTTCATTTCATATAGCTCTAGGAAGATAAGAATGGACCTAGTAGTGTTTTAAACTCAAAACTATCCAAAACATAAAAAAAAAATTCTAACTCAAAGGCACCCAGTACTTCAAAATCTCCATAATGCTTGATATATGGAGTTCTTGCAAAAAGACCCAAATTTTTGGCTTGGTACATATTCTACCTTGATATATTCTGATCTTGTCAGGTATTTTCAGAAAACTAGTGTATTTGCCCATTGCCATACATCCAACAAGAGAGGTTTTGTGTCCAAAAGGGGCATACATTCCCCACCAGTTGCTCCTATTTTAATAAGAACCAACATGTTAACTTTGATTTTACCTCTGTGTTTGAGGATTTTACCTTGGCCCAAAGTTCCTAAACTATGTTATGTGATTATAATTTTTGTGACTAAGATCTAAATAAATGAAAAAAATTTCAGATAAAGACCCAACAAACATATATTTTCATTGACTAAAAATAGTTCTCAACACTTCTCATCAGTCAACACAAAATCCATAAACTGACTTTGTCCCTTCAAAGTGATATAACAAAATACCACAGATTGGGTGGCTTATAAGCAAATATATATATTTAAATATACAAATACAAATATATATGTGTATATATTGCTCATAGTTCTGGAGGCTGGTAGTCAGAGATCAGACTACCAGCACGGTTGAGTGAGGGTCCTCTTCCATGTCATATATTTCTTGTATCCTCACATGACAGAAGGGGCTAGCTATGAGCACTCCTTTACTAGAACATTAACTCTATTCATGAATGCTCATCCTCATGACCAATTTACCTCCCAAGCCTCACCTACTCATACAAATACCTTTGGTGGTTAGGATTTCAACATATTCAAATAATATACAAACATCTGTAAATAATACCTCTTTTATGGCTGAGTAAAACTTGTACAAAGATGAAATACATAGTCTGTTATAAAAAAAAAAAAAAGGCCACCAGTTAACTAAAGTTGACCAAACACCTTTAATCTTATTCTTCTAATTAGGGTGCCTGCAGGTTGATAGGGATATCCTCCAGCAGGGTACTCCCAGAAGCTTGTGGCAAGATTTCCTGCTGAAGTCCTGAATCCACAGTAGAAAAACTATATTCCTTTCATGACCTTTGAAATTATTGTCTGTTTTCTTTCCTTTCTTTGTCTGCCCTTAGTCATGGAGGTACGTTCTCAGAAATCAGGGTCTGCTGAAAAGAAACAGGTTTCTCCAGTTTTGACCCCCACAAGCAGATTAACCTGACAGTCACCCACTGCTTTCCAAATACTACTTGGGGAGGTCACCCCTTTCCTCCATCTCTGTGAGAAACATCTCTGCTGCCACTGACAGAGAGGTTAGTCCTATGCAGTGTCACCTGGGGAGGGGGACAGCTTTAATAGAGTTCCTCTCTGTCCACTGCTTCCAAACTCATTTTTATTCTGCTCCAGTGGCAATGCTGAAATCTCCACTATAACAGGCTGGACTTTTATAAATTTTATCTCATCTGTGTGTTTCTGTCCAGGCAGCACATTCCAGGTTTCTTCCTTGACCAAAGCAAGTGGAGGTGAGACAGGTTTGCTAACTCCCTTGGATCCATTCTTACTAAGGTCTTGTTTGTTTATTTTCTGATGCAAAGATGAGCATAGGTTCTCTTGGATTCCTCCCAGGTGCTGAGGTCCTCTTTTTTGTGTACGGATGTCTAATTCATTGTTTAAAAAATTGGGGGGGGGATAAATGAGGAATATCTATGCCACCATGTTACTGACATCACCACCCACACTATATTTAATTCATCTCTCTCTTCTTTTAAATTTTGTTTTGCCTTTTCTTGCTAACAGTACTCCCTAATAGATGAAGCACTTTATTTGTAGATATGAAATATCTCTGAATTATTTGTTAATCTAATAAAGAAAGTTACATGTGGTTACTGATGTTTGAATACTTGTAAAATGATTTAAATAGGGTCACACCTCTTTCTGGAAGCTGAGGTAATTCAAGTATTCCGTGATATGGTTCAATGCTGAGAAAATAATCTGGGGCCAGGGCAACAATATGAGCAAAAGTACTGAAGGTAAAGTGCTTCTACTGTGTGCAGGGAGCACATAAGATAGGGATAAAAAATACAGTCATATTTATTCATATTGAAGAGTAATTAAGAGATGAAGCTTGATGGAGATGATGGAGCCAGAGTAGGAGAACTTTTATCCAGTTGCCATGGTCTTTAGAATTGAGAAAGTCTTGTTGCTAAGCAGTTAAATCTAGAACACAATCAAATGAGAGATGAAAGGGAGGGGATTGTTATTTCTCTTTGTTATGTAAAGTTTCAGATCTAAACCCTTGTACGTAAAGAGGTAGTTTGTACTACCTCTGTCTATGAAAGGGCTATAGTTAGAAAAGATAGTGGGAACCACTAATTCTACTGCTGGTAAGTCTTTCAAGAATTTAGCTATAAAGGAGAGAAGCACTAGTATTTGTGCATACATGAAGACACACACATACACACCACATGATTTTTTGCCAATTTTTTAATCTTAAGGAGGATCTGTGACCTGGATTATGTCTTATCCTGGTCTATTTTACTTGGCTGAATGAACAAAATTGTTGTTACTCATAGTTTGGGAAAAACTGATAGGCTATAAATGAGAGTGAGAGGGGTGGTAGTAATTAAAGCAGATAGATTGATTAATTTGATGAAGCCCTGGGGAGAGGAAAAAAGTTGTAAAAGGTGATGTATGGCCATCTACTTGGAAGTTTCTGTACTATTATGGCACTCTATCACATTATTAATGAAAATGGTTATTAAGAAAGGAATTAAGTTGAATTAGAATAGTTGTGGTTAACTGTTTAATATGTAAAAGTCAGGACAATGGAGGGTGATAAGTGTTAGGAGTAGGGTTATGGTTAGGGTTAGGGTTAAAGTTAGAGTTTGATAATTAGATACAGGTGATACTAATACATAATGCCTAGCCATAGACCAATGGCTAAATGTTGAAAACGAGTTGTAAAGCTAAAATAAACTAGGTGTTATATGGGTTCTCCACATGCTCACTAAACCCAAAATGTGGGTAAAATTATTGGTGGATAATACATTAGTAAATCAGACACCTAATTTCTTGAGGTTTGTGTAGCATTGATTTGGGTATCGGTGTATGAGTAAGAAAGAAAGCTAAATAGTGGTCTGATGAGATGGCTACCACTTTAGTGGTTTGGAAGTGGCTTTGGTAATCAATGCAAATTGGGACCAGTCATCTGTTCTGTATGCCATATGAGAGTACTGAGAATGGAAATCTTTCTCTCTGCCTGGCTTTGAATTGTTGGTATGTTTAGTAAAATGAAGTAAGAATAAGTAGCTTTCCCTGAAAAAGTGAGAGAGATCTTTGTTTCTCATGAAAGGAAGATTCCATACATAACACAGCAATTCTGCAGAAAAGAGGTCAAGGAATGTGGAATCAAGATTTTTTTTTTTTAAAGATTAAGCGTAATTGAGTATAAGGACTAGGAGATGATAGGTCCCTAATCATGCATCTTTTATTTTTATGTTACTTCCTATGGGAGGTGGTTTGATGAATTTACATTAGATCCCTCATAGCTGACTTCACTTTCCTGGTTTTTCAACCAGAGGAAGAGTTCTTGGTGTCATTACTTCAAGCATTCATATTACTTTAATGATTTCATAAAGACTGTGATATTCTCACTAGATAATAAAAAAAGCAATATATATAAAATACTGAAATTTTACAAATTTCTAATGTGTAGCTTTGTCCCAAACACTCTGTTCAAATTTAAGACCATTAATATCTCCAGACCATTAGTATCACAACATATATGTTCATTTATATTTCCTGAATGTGTCGTACCATTTTTTTTGCTTCTATTTTTCATACAAAATACATATATATGTATTTTTATTTATGAAAAAGATACATTTTACTGTCAAACCCAGGAACAGATTACCTTGCAATCTTATAAATTCAGGCTTTGATGCCAATATTTGTGAAAACAATTGATGCTTTGGTCCTTGCAGTTTCACAGGTTTAGATGAAAAGAGGAATGCAGGAAGGAGATAGGATAATTAATAATTTGTCACATGGAAGCATATATGACAGACAATGAGAAAAAAATAATAATATATGTGACTAATCTTTATATCTTTCCTGAGTAATGTATGTGACTAAATAATTTATCATTTGTAAGTGAAAGGAAAACCTATATAGTGATATTCATAACCAGTCCATATGTATAAATTGAGACTGTTACATTAAAACATTATAGGTGTTCATGCTTCCATTAATACCCTTTTGTTTTATATATTTACTGTGAAAATGCTGATACACATTCATATATTTACAGAACAGTATAATGAGTCAGTATGTGTCCTTCATCTAGGTTCTGCAAGTGTCAACCTATGGCCAATCACCATTGTTTTGTACACCCAGTCTCACTCTGCCTTACCATTATTTAAGAGAAAATGCAGTGCAGCATACTGAGTCATGAGCCAAACACCAACCCATTTTAACCCATAGCCTTTCTTCATCCTCCACCTTGACTTGCTTATATCTCCCACCCCTGTCTCTGCCCTTCTTTCTATTTTTTCTTTTAGTGTTGCTGCTCTGATGGTGTGACTACTAGAAGACAGATCTTTAAATATCAGCACTTTATTTATCAGCATACATCCAGCTCAGAGGGAGGAGGCAGAACCGGAATGCTTCCTGACCTGCTCTGTTTTGCCCTCACCAATGGCTGAATATGGTGGCTCCATAATGGCTGTGGGTGAGGTCCCGGTACATGTGAGGATCACTGTCCCCATTCTCTGGCTGAGGGTGTTTCTGCTCCTTTCTGGATGGTCCCATGTTGGGCATTTCTATCGCCATGGTCCCCCAGAAGTGGTGATTCCTTTGAGGATAACAGGCACTAGCATTGTCAAGAAACCTTCAGGCTGAATCTCTTACTGCCTGCATTTTGGAGGCCAGAAACATGTTTTTCATATGAAGGTCAAGAAGCTTTTGCTGTCCAAAAACTTCCCAGTGTTCACATACACAGACCAGGGTGCTCTTCTTGAAGACCAGCCATTTATCCGGAAAGATTGCTATTATCATGGCTATGTGGAAGGGGATCCGGATTCCCTGGTTTCTCTGAGTACCTGTTTTGGGGGCTTTCAAGGAATATTACAGATAAATCACATTGTTTATGAAATTTTGCCCAAAAAGCTTTCTACCACATTTGAACATCTGGTATTTAAGATGTATGGCGAGGAGAAACAATTCTCACCCATGAGGTGTGGATTGACAGATGAAAAAATAGCACAACAAATGAAGTTTCAAGAGAGCAATAATTCCACTTTGCAAAGTGGATATAAACGTCTGTGGATGCACAAGAAATTTGTAGAAATGGCAGTGGTGGTAGACCACAATCGATATGCTTATCGCGAATATAATGTCACGACTGTGGAACTGGAAGTGATTACTACTATGAACAACGTAAATACCTTCTATCAACCACTAAATATTGAGGTGAGTTTAGTTGGAATGGAGGTCTGGAATGAAGGAAACCCCGTTGAAATAAAGAACATGGATATACTCGTGGATTTATTTTGCGCCTGGAAGGAAAAAGGCTTTAGTGCCCGTGTGCCCCATGATGCTGCGCATGTTTTTGTAAAAAGAGGATATGGTACGTTTGGCATATCTTATGTTGGGTCAGTATGTAACTACAATACTAATTGTGCAGTGGATGCTTTCACAAGTGACGATTTGGGGTCTTTTGCATTTGTTGTGTCCCATGAGCTCGGTCATTCTCTGGGTATGTGGCATGATGAGGAAACATGTAAATGTGCAGACAATGTGTGCATAATGTGTGCAGCACAGTCTTGGGCAACTAAGTTCAGCAACTGCAGTTATGCTCAATATTGGCACACCTCTGCAGGATCAAGATGTATCTTCCACCCACCCACTGCAGAGAGAACCTTCAAGTCTACACGCTGTGGGAACGGTGTGGTTGAAGAAGGGGAAGAGTGAGACTGTGGCTCCTTAAATTTGTGTACAAAAGATCCATGCTGTCAGTTAGACTGTACTCTGAGTCCTGGGTCTACTTGTGCTTTTGGGCTTTGTTGCAAAGACTGCAAGTTCACGCCATCAGGTGATGTATGTAGAGAACAGGCAAACGAATGTGATCTTCCCGAGTGGTGTGATGGGACATCCTATCAATGCCCAGAAGATGTGCATGTGCAAGATGGCGCCGAATGCCCAGGTGGTGGCTACTGCTATGAAAAGAGGTGCAATAGCCGTGATGAACTGTGTAGCAAACTTTTTGGCCCAAATGCCAAGAGTGCGAGTCAGATTTGCTACAGTACAGTGAATATCCAAGGGGACCGTTTTGGTAACTGTGGTCTCAAGAACAATCAATTTATAAAATGCAATACCTCAGACACCCTGTGTGGGAGGGTGCAGTGTAAGGATGTGACAAAAATCCCCACTCTGAGATACCATTCTACTCTGCACTGGCTTCACCTCAATGATAGCATCTGTTGGGGTATAGACTTCCATTATGGGATGCCCTGGCCTGATCTTGGTGAAGTGAAAGATGGTACAGAGTGTGGCAAAGAACATATCTGTGTCCGAAGGAAGTGTATCCCTTTGGCATATTTGAAAACCAATTGTTCGCCTGAGACCTGCAATAGGAATGGGGTCTGCAACAATAGACATCACTGCCATTGCGGCAATGAGTGGGACCCCCCTGACTGCCGGGTTAAAGGCAAAGGAGGCAGTGTTGATAGTGGCCCACCCCCAATAGGAAACGAGGTTGAAGTGCCACAGAAGAAACAGCAAAAGAAGACTTACCAGCTATTATTTTGGTTGATTCCTTCTTCGGTTTTATTATGTTGCTTGTTAATTTTGTTTTTTATGAGAAGAAATAAAAAGGATAAGAAAAAAGGGCAGAATGTTCCACCTTCATCCAATGAATAGCAGAATGCGCCACCTGAACAGATTCAGGAAGTGAGTGATCTATCTGCACTTGAGAATGAAAACTAAAAAGTTACGATTTCCAAAAAGAAACCCAATCCAATCCCAAATGAATTTGCCCATTTTTTAAGCTTTAGTCCCCTGGCAGGAAAAATGTTACAGCTTGCACCACAGATCGCTGACAAAAAATCTGTGTGTTTTTTTAATCATTTGGGATCAGAACCACTAGCCATTGAACAATAAGTAAAATATACTAATTCTCAGCACATTTCTCTTTTCCATTATTTTAGGCAATTTTAGCAATTAATTTTTATGGAATTATTCTGTGTTTCCTGAGCAATGGCAGTGCCCTCAGGGGGGTGTGTATGTGTGTGTGTGTCTGTGTGTGTGTTTAACTTGCTGTCTGACAATTCCAAACATCCTTCCCCTTTGTAATCTGCTTTCATACACAGGGAATAGGAAACTACAAATCACATTTCTCCTTTGTGAGTCCTCTATTTTTAGCTACCACGAATAGTGGAAACTAGAGGGAAACCGGACATGGGAAATGTTTTGGGAATGTTGTTCGTCAGAGTTGCCTCACTGACTCTCACCCTGGCAAAGGCAGTGCCTTACAATCTTTACGTTACCACATACAGACGTAAATGTAGATATAGATAAGGACAGAATGGTATGATATACATTATATAGATAGATATATAGATAGATATACACATATACATATATCTATAATATATATGCATACACATTATTTTCTTTGGTAATTCACAGAACCAACAGTACTGTCAGCTTCAGAGAGATTGGCACAGCTATCAAGTGTCTTACCCTTGGAGTTCTAGACCCCAGGCCTTGGAGTCCTCTACCAAATCCCTGAGGCTGAGCACCACTTTGGCCAACCCTCTCCCCAGAGGTCAGAGTCCTAGATCCATGTGACTTACTCCAAAGGTGTGGGTTCCAAGAAGCACACCTCTTCCCTTTGATCTCTAGTTTCGATGCAATAGCTGTACTTCCTGTTAGGAAATCATGGCTTCTCAGAGGAGGGCGTCGCTTGTTGTGATTGAATTCTGACTGATAGAGTACTGATCTTGGAATAACAGAGAACACAGGAAGGAGTCTGACATCAAAAGCTCTTGAATTTTCCACACCACTGCCTTTACCATCTTGGGGATATATTTTATGCTCTGGTAGAATTACTTCAAAATCTCAAAAGAGAGGAAAATGGTACTTACCACTCAATCCTTGGTAACTTCACTTGTGAAATAAGACAAAGAAGATATTTACAATTCCATGTAAGATATCTAAGTCTTAGCAGACCATGTGTCCTCTGCAAAGAAAAAAAAACCTAGGAAAAAAACTAGAAAATCCCAATTTTATTTTAACCCATGTTTTAAGGACATCAGAGAGCTGAAGAAGTAATACGGAATAGATGAACTAAAACTTCAGGCAGGGTAAAATAATTCTGAAAAGGGCTGAATCTTGCCAGTCATTTTTCCTCTGAGCATATGCTGATGGCAAGTGTGAATTGAGCCTTAGACTTGGCCCAGGTGCAGGACCTCTGCTGAGGGAAAGAGAAATTCCCAGTGTCTCAGTTACTACACAGGGTTAGATAGACTCTAAACATTGACATCAAGGGCTCTAATTCACTATCAGATTTCCCCAAGTCACAAGAGCTTAATCTGAGAGCTCTGTGGGATGCTGGTGAGCTCCTCTTTGAAATTTCTCAAAGGCATCTATCCCAAAAATCATGTTATATTTTGAACACAAGTCATAGTAGAAGGAGGGTTATCTCAAGCACGTGATCTCTCTCCCCGTAATACACGTATCTGGTTTTGATGTTGCACGTGGCAGAGGGAGAGGCTGGGTTGTGAACTTTTCGGTGGTAGAGCCCAGCCATCCATAAGCTTGCAGAGCTGTGAAAAGAGAGTCGCATAAACTCACAATTGAAAGCCCAGCAAGCCCATGCCTGAACAACACAAGGAAAAGAGAATAAGCCCAAGATTTACTAAAAGCCACTCACCTTTGACCTGGCACAACCTACGATTAGATACAGGTAATTAGCTCCTCAGCCTATCTTCCTAACAGAGGAAAGAGAGAAAACTCCGGGATCACCTGGAGCTGCTATGGTTGTCTTATACACAATGCCTGCACACAATAAAAATTACCATACATGCTAAGAATCACAATTCATGACTTATTTTTTTTCTTAATATTCTTTTTTTTAAAGATTTTATTTATTTGTTTGAGAAAGAGAGAGAGAGAGAGAGCACAAGCAGGGGAATGGAGAAGCAGGCTCCCCACTGAGCAAGGAACCAGATGTGGGGCTCGATCCCAGGGCCCTGGAATCATTACCTGAGCCGAAGGTAGATGCTTAACGACTGAGCCACCCAGGCACCCCTCATGACTTATTATTAAGAGAAGTAAAAAAGGAAGGAAAGAAAAGAGGGAGAAACTATAAGTATGACCCAGGTAGTGGAGCAAGAGTACGTAAAAAAAATCAACTATAATTATACATTTAAAATGGAAGAAAAATATACAAAATATAAGGACAAATGTAGACTATGCTCAGTATGTTGGAATCTTTTCAAAATTTTTAAGTGGATATTGTAGAACTAAAAAGTAAAATACATAATAGGTAATTCAATGGATGGTTTGAACAGTAGTTTGGACATAACAGATTATAGAATTACTCATCTGGAAAAGGTCAGTGGAAAAATTCCCACACTGCTGTATGCAGAAAAAAAAAAGCAGAATATAAAAGATTAAGAAGTAGATTTAAGAATTTTATAACTTTTTAGAGATTGCCTAATTATAGGTAGGGAAAGATAAAAGGAAAAAAAATCAAGTGTTAGTAAATATTTTTTAGCCTTTGTATGTGTGCTGTTATAAATATTGCTTATCTGAATACTGTAGGCATGAGTTTGACAGGAAACTTAATTGTGCTATCTTTATCTTTATGATATTGCAAGTACTTCATTATTAAATAACAAAATGTAGGTTTAGCTCTAAGATGGTTTTAAATAGTCAAGAGCTTTCAAACACTTAGGTTTTCTCTTAATTAAAGTGAATCTCTGAAATTTTGAAAAGGATTTCACATTACTAATTTATTTTCTATGTTTTATTCTCAGATTCTTTATTTTTACTCATTTTATTTTAACTCCAGTATAGTTAACACACAGTGTTACATTAGTTTCAGGTGTATAATATCATGATTCAACTATTTCATACATCACCAGATGCTCATCACTCCTTAATCTTAATCCCCATCACTATTCAACCCATCTCCCCACTCACCTCCCCTCTGGTAACCATCAGGTTCTTCTCAAAAGTTAACAGTCTGCATAATGATACATTTTTTTCAAACTTCTTTAACTCAGTTGCTATGAATCATCCCATGAGAATAATCACCGGATCATGGTTTTTAAAAGAAATAGGCAAAACTTTTCCTATAGTATTTATACCATTTTCACTTTCCCATTAATAATGGTTGAAAGCTCTGGTGACTCCACATTTTTGTTAATATTTGTAAATTGTATCCATTCTGTTTCATTTTCTTGGCAGTGACTTTGTGTAGTGAGAAATTCTTTTGATGAGCCTTATTTATCAGTTTTTCATATGTTTTCATTTCTGTAGTCTATGAAATCTTCATGTGCTTCAATCATGAAGTTATCTTCCTATGCTTTCTCCAAAACTTTTATGAGTTTTGTTTTTCATTCAGGTCCACAGCCTATCTCAAATGTCTTTAGTATGTTATACAGTAGAAGTTAAGGTCCATTTTATTCTATAGAGATATACATGTATTTCAATACCATCTCTTTAAAAGACTTTCATTTCCTCCATTTTTTGTTATTGAAAAATGAATGACCATATAAATATTGTCCTATTTCCAGAGTCATTACGTTGTTCATTGATCTAGCTGTTGAACATTATACCAGTACTCTCTTGTCTTGATTACTGAAGCACTGCAGCAAGTCTGAAAACAGGTAGTGTTACTATAGCAATGTTACTATAGCAACGTTTTACTTTGCAAAGATTGCTGTGGTTATTGTAGATACTTTGAAATTCCACATAAATTTTAAAATCAGCCTATCACTCACCCTACCACACACACACACAACCTGATTGAATTGTGATGATGCTTGCATTGAATCCATACCTCAATTTGGGAAGAATGGTTATCTTACAAATATTGAGTCTTTTTATCTATGAACATGATATAGATCTTCATTTATCTAGTTCTTTTTAAAGATATTTCGATAATGCCTTATTGTTCCCAAGAGAAAGGTATTGCATATAGTTTATTAAATACCTATGGAGTTTCTATATTGTGCATGTAATTGTGCATGTAATTTATTTTCTAACTAACTGGTGCTGGTAAAAATAATATAATTCACTTTGTAAATTTACATAGTGCCTTACCACTGCCTAAATATATGTTTTACTTTGTGTGTGTGTTTTAAGGAGACCTTGGGATTTCCTGTGAAAACACCCATGTTATCTGTTAATCAATAATGTTTGACTCTTTGCTTTAAATATGCAATATGAGCTTGGAACTTCTTATAACACCAGAAGATGAAGAAGTTCCTAAAAGACAAAAAGAATGTCAAAGGGACAGAGGAACTAACTGAAAGTCCTCTCAAAAGTCAAACTTGAACATATTGTACATTTACAACATATTGTAAAATAAACGTCAGCCCATACTGATACAAATAAAGGACTGAAGAGAAAAGTAAATGAGGAAGAAGAGAACACTTTCCGAAGCAGAATTCCAAATAGTCTGTGTCAACACTCTGTCCTCAACTCCCACCCCTTACCTGTGGGCTACAGAGAGTGACTTCTTTCCAAATAATTCTGTATGGAAATGGAGGAGGGGAATGACATTACACTGAGCAACTTGAAAAAGACTACATGTGCCACAAGGTGATTGCTAATATCACATGGTTAAGTCATGTTGATAGCATGAACCTTTGAGACGATGGAAGATAAATGTTACTTCATCTGTGTTGCCTTCCTCTCCAAAACCCATAACCCCTGTTTCACCATCAAAAAGAGATCTCTAAATTAAGGGGCCTTTTGCAAAACACCTGAGCAGTACTCTTGAAAAATATCAAGGCCATTATAATAAGGAAACTCTGAGAAAGACTCACAGCCAGGAGGAGCCTAAGGGAGTATGGCAACTAAAAACAATATGGTACCCAGGACAATAACAACAACAAAAAAGAACATTGGATACAAATGAAAGAAATTTGGAAGAAGTACGGACATTAGTTAATAATAATATGTAAACATTTTCTCATTATTTGTGACAAAGGTATGATAGTAATGTAAGAATTAACAATAGGAGAAACTAGGTGCAGGATTTGATTTACCAAAACTCTCTGAAGTATTTATGGAACAGTTTTGTACACCTGCAATTATTTTAAAACAAAAAGGACTTGGGGTTCCTGGGTGGCTCAGTCGCTTACGCTCTGGCTTCAGCTCAGGTCATGAGATCAGGCTCCTGGGATCAAGCTCTGCATTGGGCTCCTTGCTCAGCAGGAGTCTTCTTCTCCCTCTCCCTCTACCCCTCATCCCCGCTCAAGCGCTCTCTCTCTCTCTCTGCTCTCTCTCTCAAATAAACAAAGTCTTTAAAAAAAGGACTTAAATTCATAAATAAATAAGTA